CCTTGGTGTTTAGTATTGATCAAAGTCTATCGATCGAGGTGTGTAGTGTGACCACAAAGTGAAGTGATGCGGTATTTAAAATCAGTTGGCAGGGATTTCTGTACCTACATTTGGAGCCTGTTCATCCTGACTTGAAAAGCTGTGATAAAATTCTTGACTTCAGCAATGAACATTAGACTAGAATCTTCAAAACATTAACTTCTTGATGGTTGAAGAGACACTAGGCTGATAATCACTAGTAAGTGAGAAACCTATGTGAAGCAGAGCTTCCTACCGATTGAGTCTCTGTATGACACCGAAATATTTTATTTTACATTTTTTGAATTTATACAAGTGTCTTATGAAAGTAACGAAAAGACGATGGTTATTACTTTTAATACTTTACACTCATTCAGTTAACAAGGTAAGCAGTCCCTTACATGACGTAAGATAATATCCTTAAGGTCTACTGCCTATAACAAAATAATGTCCAAGTATTTGTTCGTCAACTGTATGCATAAATGACGTCGCTGGTTTCTCAGTTGGTTACTCAGTATATGCCCATCTATGTCGGAATGACATGTCTCAAAAACTGTTTGGTCTAGTCACTCCAAATTTGGTAAAAAAAAATGGTGTTTTACTTCTTTCATTATGTACCAAAGTAGCAAATGAATTTATTGGCAGATGAATGAATATAAGTTAGAGCATAGTGAAGTTTAATATGAGCTGAGTGGAACAATTTTTAAAGGTCATATATTAAATTTTTGAGGTATATGAACCGATACATTAACCTCCAGTCAACATGACGAACAAATAATTCGTCGTTAAGAATTTTTGGATCACTATTGGATGAATTGACTAGAGTTTGCGATTTCTCCTACTGTGGTGAAAGATCACTCATGCTTTTCCAATTATTATAAATTATAAGTAAAATATTATATGCGCAGATTAATCGTTTTTTGTTAAGTATTTGCCTATGGTGGAGAATATCTGTAGCTTAGGTGGATGTTTTTGGTTTTACTGTCTTCTTTGATCTGGACAATTTAATCGTGAAGCTTTCATTTTCTTTCTAGACAGCATCATCAGCACTAACTACACTATGAAGTGAACCGTCAATATCTCTCTGTGAGTTGCTGATACGACAATCATAGGAAACTACTATTCATAAACCAGTTCGTCATGACAAGCTACTCAGTCATTTACGGAGAGATACTGAGAGCTCACTTCATATTGAAGTTAGTGCTGGTGATATTGACTGGAAAGATCGTGAAAACTTAACGATTAAACCGCCCAGCTCACAGAATACGATACAACTATTTAGACCAATACGTCTTGATAGAGAAGACGAATTCTTAAGAGGGTATTCACAATGGACTGATATCGGTTGGGGGAGACACTGGAAACCTGGGAGCATCGGATAGCTGTTCCATCCTACTATGGTAATCCCCAGCAGAGCACATCCACGACCACGTCAGGGATCAAACCGGAACCTTCAGATTCTGCGGCTAGCTCGTTCCCATTGAGCCAATATGTTGGTATGCAATGGTTCATATTTCACACTTCTGCGAGAACATCACCCGATGTCATCGTTGAGTATTTTTCTTCATATCCACCAGGTTTGATATGCTGATCATGACTTCCCACTGGGAATTCATTAATCACCCCTCAAAGCTAGTCACTAATGAGCACAAAAATAATTCAGTTTGACGTTTGTGGGGATTTATTTATTTCAAGTTGCTATTCATCATCATGTTCCATGGAGGGGTCATGAATGAGCACTGCTGAGAATCCCCATACTTGAGCGAAAAAACTGTCCAGTGCTCCCAGATTTCCAATGTTGCTCTAGTTGGTGTCAGTCCATGATTTTTTTCTTTGTTTATAAATTAACAAAAAGCTCGACTTTAGATGTTGAGTATTGAACGTTTCTACTTATTTCAATTGTGATAACTTCACTTTCACTGCAGAAATTAAGGTAACAACTAGTCAATATTATTTATTACAGCACACAGACAACCTGGCTCTTCGTTTATCAAATGCAGATACTTTCAGTGGAAACATTTTCCAGTTTTCTGACTGACATTGCTTGAAAACGAATGATATTACCGCTACTCCATGAAACCGAATAGTAAAGTTTATCAAAAGAAACCGTGCGTATCACCGAACCAAAAGTTATCAGTAGTAAATTTTATTTCAAACAATCAAGTTCACTATCAGACGATTGCATTAATTTGATCTAGCCAGTAATTACTGCTGACTGCTTCTCATCAACCAATTTCGGCAAACGTTACATGTCATGTGCCTTCCATCCAGAGATACAGCACATCTTTTGTCTGAATTTTTCTAATTAAAATAGATGTAATACTTCCTAGATAATTTCTTTCTAAAAATACAGTGGATGATTCGGGCTGGGCAACGTGAAAAGTGTGGCTTAGATTTAACCTTAGACCATATTCTTTTACGTATACATCAACACAGCAAATTTGTTTACCGGCATTTCAATATCACATCTTGAAATAGAAACTTCGGTGATGCTGTAATATCATCTTTTAATTGTATTCCTTTCATCATGATATCAGTCAACCATTTCGGTGAGGATACTGAAATCATGAGGGAGGTTATGTTAGCCAACCAAATTAAGTTAGTAAACGTCTTTATATAACAGACTTCCAAAAGGCATAGAGAAACATCATTCAACCAACAATGCTTCTAATAAATACTTATGACAATTTAAAATCTCAGTATCGGGAGAACGTCACGAACTCAAAGATTCTCCTTGAATAAATCTTGCTTATTTGAACAAATGTGATATGTCCTTTGAAACGTTTATCTGTTTAATGTATGAAGTCATCTGCAATCTTGTTTATGCATTAAGCAGATACTTCATTCAACTATCTGAACTGTATTCATTAAATGTTGATCAATCTCATTCAACAGCTATATGAAGACGCCACATATTAAGTGATTCACAATGGAAAGCTCAGTGACACCTTCGAAGTGAAGACAGGAGTAAGACAAGGCTGCCATCCACTATCACCGATCACCTTCCTGATTGTGTTGTGGTCGACTATACTAGACTGGATCGTGCAACAAACTGTAAGGAGCGAGAAGAGGGGCATACTCTGGACGGATGAAAAGACTCGAGAAGATTTGGATTTCGTGAATGATGACTTATGTCTAATGTCTTGTCACAAAAACTCGAAGATTTACAAGCAAAAGCCAACAAGTTGACAGAAGAGGCAATGCAGCGAAGACGGGACTTCAAGTGAACGTAGAGAAGACAGAGGTGATGAAGATACCCAACCAACAACAACAGCGATCACCATCAACAGAAGGAATCTGAAGGAGGAAGTTATCTCTTCCACCTACCTTCCTAAGCAGCATCCTCTCAACTGCAGGTGGCACAGGCACAGATGAGGATGTCAAAGCCAGGATCGAAAAGATAGCGAGACAGATCTTCATTAACGTGAAATCAGTGAAGAGATCCACAACACTCAGCATAAAGCGTGAACAATATCCGGTTTTTCAACACTAATTCAACCACGTCAGTGCCTCCATGTGATGGTTGAGAGACTCGGCACGTTACGAAAAGCGTTTCCAACAAACTCCAGACGTACATCACATCGACAGCTGCCGCCTACGCTCAGTCAATACTGACACTGAAAATCAGATGACCAGAATAATAAGAATAAGCAAAGAGGAACTCTGACTGGCTGGCTGGCTGGCTGGAAACCAACCAACCAACAGCCGACTGCCCAACAAATATGAAGAAGAAAGTGAAGATGGACTTGATTGGATTGTGTATACACTGAGAAGGCCGATTTGGGACATCAAGTGCTAGGCCAGGCCAGGCCAAGTCCTTGAGAAGAGGCCAAATGGGAAGTGACAAGTTGGGCATCCGAGGGTGATATGGAGGAGATGGTTTGAGGAAGAAGTGAAAGCTTGTGGGCACTGATTGAGCCGAGTTGAGAAGACTGGAGAGAAGAGGGCGAAATATCTGTGTGCTACTGAAGCCCTATGTTTTGCTAGGACCCAAGGGACAAATAATAATAATGTTTTCATTAACACTAGTGTTCACATTGTTGTAGTAGTGTTATTATATTCTTATTTATTCAACAACAAATGAATAGGATGCTATAAATAGGTAAGAAATTCTAAGTTTTCAGTATCCATGTCCTTGTAGCTGTAAAATGAACAGTTGTGAGAAGTTTTCAGATGCATTTCCTTAAGAGAATTCCTACATTATGTTAATTTGATTACTAAGTATGTGTTCGTCGAAGAAATATACCTTTGGCTTTGATGGATGTTATCATTTTGCAGGTAGTTGGTAGGAGATATTGCTTAACCGAGGTGTATCTACTACCTCGATGGAATTGATATCTTCTCTGATATTTGAACCTGCGTCACTCAGTGTTATAGTCAAAGACGTTATCAGTGACATATTCGGGTTGCGGTTGTCCTCCTGTAGGGATGGACTAATAGAATTGGTTCAACCCTTAGGGTTAAACAACATGAAATTGTCTGTACCCCAGTGATAAATCTATGTACTTTTGTCTTTATTTACACGTGTAATGCATTATGTTACTTCAAGAGATTCTGTAGACATTTAAGCTGTCATATTTATTTTAATAAAGAAAAGTGTCTTCAAGCAACCTATTGCACACAGTGTCATATGATACGCCCACATGTTAATGTATATGCACTTTTTTGCAACCAAAAAAAGTCATTTTTATATAGTACATTGAAGTGATCAGGTTTATATGTTCAACCCCTGTTCTGCTATTTAAAGTTGATCTTTTCCCGTGTATATAAGTGAAAAAGATCGATGGCTTTAAAAGTGTAGTAAGGTATTTCGATGTCAAACACACACGTACACATATATTGTCTTTTAAAACACCCACAACCTTTCATAATATAGTGCGTAGGTTATTTCCAAACAAATTCATAGGTTAACTAAATTGGGCTTCTTTGGAACAACCAATCTCTGCTTCATAAATAAATTGAAAGAAAATCGAGGTAATAATAACAGACTTTTATGCATACACATTTTTGGGTTGTTTCACACTTCTGAGGATATAGTTTATGCGATATCTTTCTGGTGTTTCGGTTATTTGGATACAGCGATTTTGCTTCGTTCACTTTTGGTTTAGTTAATTATGTCATCACCAGAAGTGGGTATGGCGTATCAAATACCTCCACAAATTAGTCCTCAAAGTGGTAATGTGGCAACATCGACTAAAGTTCTCAATCTTTCGAGAGCTCAGGTGAATCTGAGTCAACCAGGACAATCTGTTTATCCAACATCAGGATCTCCACAACCACCACAGTTGAACTCTTACAGTTATTCACCACAACAAAATCAGTCTCCCTCAAATTATACATATCCCGCTCATGCAGGATTTGAGCAATCAAACAGCAACTTAAGTCGAACAAGTTTTCAAAATTTTGCCCAGCCACAGGTTTATACGGTTGGTTCAAGTCAACCACCTCAAATGCAGCAGATACAGCAGCGACAACAACCTCAACAACATGGATGGGATCAGGCTCAGCAACCACAACAGTACAGAGTTCTTACAACTCCCTTACAAACATCAAACATGGGACAAACAGATCCTTATACTGTTGGCCAAGCTAATGCACAACCTGCGTACAAACCTCAGCCGAATGTCATTTATTTTGGTCAGTCAGGACAAGCTCAACAGCAAGCGCCGTTACAGCAAACGCCATTGCAGCAGACATATCAACCACAGACACAACAACAACAACCAGGTCAGGTGATGTATGCACGACCAGCCAGTCAGTCTTACGCTCCTTCGGGAAATGCCTATCCAACTCAAGCACAATATGCACCACAAGCTAGTACAGGCACAATAACTTATCAGCCGTCCAATCAGGTGGCTCCTCCGGCCCAACCAATCACAGTTCAGCCCAGTCATCAGGTTAACCAAACGAGTCAGCAATATTTTAATCAAGCACCTAAATTTCAACAAGTGCCAAATTCTTCGACACCATTGAACCCTTCACCTTTTCAAGAACAAAATCAACAGATCTATTATCAAAATCAACCTAAACCTCAATCAACAGCACAACCATATTCTTCACAACCGAATTTCAATCAAACTGATAACAAGCCAACACAAGTAGTACAGTCTATTTGGGGTACACAACCCAATAACCAAGTGTTCGATCATAAACAACATCAGCAATATCATCAACCACAACAGTCAGTTCAAACTTATCAACCAGTACAAAGTAATCAACTATATACACAAAATACATTACCATCCACAACTCTTAATCAAGGATTCGATCAACAGATTCGTAGACGTATTCCTTCTGGAGGAGGTCAATCAAAACAAATTAAGGTTAAGTCATTGGTAAGTTTTCGGTTAAAAGTTATAATTGGTAAAACTACTTTACCACAACTTAACTTTTTTTCTGAATCTTGGATTACTTAGTATCCGTTGAGAGTCAATGTATTACATATAAATGAACTTTATAAAGTGATAGTTAGTCGGGTAAAGTGTATATAAAAGTTAGGTGCAACCAATTACCGGAAAAATCTTTGGAGTTAGTAAGATAATCTATGAAGATATTGGATAATTCAACACAGTGTACTTTAATCATCCCACTTGTAAAGACTTATGGTGGTTCTATGTCTACTGTAAGTATTCGGGGTTACCGTTCACTCAAATAACCTAACTAATTATGGCTAATATGCCATAGGACTTAGGGATATTTAACGTTTCTCTGCTTCTAATTATTTTCTCCTACTTCTCCATAATCTGTATGAATAAGAAACTTAATAAAAAGTCATAATTTCATGGTATGTTCTTCATTTTAAAAACAACATCGATGGATAGTGCATATCGTCATATCTTCATTCCTTCTCAATAATTCTAAAGGAATAAGTACAACCAAGATATTTCAAGTTGTTATTCATCGAAGACTGACATCAGTTGGAGGAACAAAGGAAACCTGGGAGCACTGGACAGCTGTTTCGTCACACTAGTATGGGACTCCTCAGCAGTGCGCACCCACGACCCCACCAGCAGGGATCGAACCCGCGACCCGCGACCCGCGACCAACTGATGTCAGTCTTCGATGAATAACAACTTGAAATATTTCCAAATCTCCACAACTCCCTCAAAATTTAATTGAACTAGTGCTCGTTGGTGACTAGCTTCGAGAAGTATTCCCGAAGTTCCAATGACAAGTCGTGACCGGTGGCGTCAAAGCCTGATGGCCGTGAGGACAAATACTCAACGATGACATTGGGTGGCGGTTTGTGCTATATCGTGAGCTAACAGAAGTTGGAAATATGGAGCATTGGATTCTGACCCAGTGGCTCAATGGTAAGGCGCTGGTGGCGGAACCTGAAGGTGGCGGGTTCGATCCCTGCTGGTGGGGTCGTGGGTGCGCACTGCTGAGGAGTCCCATACTAGGACGAAACAGCTGTCCGGTGCTCCCAGGTTTCCTTTGTTCCTCCAACTGATGTCAGTCTTCGATGAATAACAACATGAAATATTTCCAAATCTCCACAACCCCCTCAAAATTTAATACAACCAAGATAGATGATTATTCAAGATAAAGTGAAACTTAAATACACTGAAATCTCAAAATATATTTTGGATGTAATTTTGATAGTATTATATTCTCTGGGATGGATAGTTTATTCCATGGAGCTTTCATTCTCATTCCATACAACAATATTAATCCAGACTTCATGAATAAGTACCATAAGTTATTTATGAATCATGAAGTGTAATCATTTCACTACGTAACTGTATAACTTGTTAACAGATCAGTGGAAGAGTTTAAATGCAAAACCTAGTCACTTCTCATCATCAAAATCAGTTAGAAGTTAAATTTCTGTTCAATCGTTCTTAGTTAAATTAACAAAAATTCTGTGTATATTTAGTAGTGCTTATATTGGATAGTGGTTAGTAGTGAAATACGTAATGTGTGTTTCATCCTATCTAGGACTCGTTGACTGCATGTGCCTTCCTCATAATGAATGATATTGTTCCTAATGTGACCTAAACATAACTCCCATCACTTCAAATATCGCTACGTTACCCGCTTATCTACTAATTCATGTTAGCAAGGCATTCTGCAGCGGTTTTAAATTCATGGAGAAAGAAATTTTTAATTCAATACATACATTACATATCACATATGGTGTCGCTTGCAATAGATATGATCTCATTACTTGAAAAAAAAGCTTTTCTAAGTCTCTAAAATTAATGCTATAATTCTTGACTTCACTTCTATAAGTTTTTCATATAAATTTAGAAGGATTATTGAAGTTCATTTGAGTAGTATGATAATTGTCTTGCCTTTATTCTCTAGGTTACGATAGTCTATACGACTTTCTAGTTTTCTTACTGTAGCTAAATAATTAGGTGATAGATTTTTTCGAGGTGTAAAGTAATAGTTCTGAGTTATGTTTTCACATTTACATTTTGAAATAAGACAATTACATTTAACTCGAGTGGTAGACTTCATTACGAAATATGTCTGTAGGAACTTTGAGATATTCAAAAAAAAGGAGTGAGTTCTTTAACTCAGCTGTCCATCGCCTTATAATTGCAGATCATGCTTTCAATACTGTAACTTTAGGTTTAACATGAGAAGCTATTTAATCCTTCTGAAGGTATACGGGTGATTGAAATCTCTCATTTGCCAACATTATAGAAGGTTACTTCTTTCTACAACACATGGGGAAGGAACCAGATTAGTAATGGAGGTCTTATAGACTTGTAAGCATTTCCTTTGAACTTCAAGGAGATCTGCCGTGCACCAATCACAAATATGCTTTTTTTCAATGTTCTGCACATATTTAACTCGACTGACTTTACGTTTGGAAAAACCTTACCGAAACCTTTTCTTCAGGAAATAGCACTACTAGCTATCTACGGTAAATATGTTTCTGTTATTACACGCAAATATAGTTGACAATATGATTTTGTGATGAAACTTAAGTTTGTTTGCGCTTGACTCTACGGTGTACCATAGAATTTCCTTACTTGTCTTGCTCTCAATGTTCAACAATCCTAACTAAATATATATCGGTTGTCATTACAATAGAAAAGCCTGACAAATACAACAAGGTAACACATGCACTCAGCTAACAGATTCTTGATTATATCACTAATCCGTGAAGTCAAAGACCCTTTTTTTAAAGAATATAAATAAGTGAAGGTTAGCCGTTTAACCTCCACAAGAATCAATGGATGAAGATTATAAGCTATACAGCAAATTGGTTCAATTTATCAGTCTCGAAATCTTGAATACCTTATTAGCCCATGTTCATTTTTTCAATGTACTTACGGTCATTGATCACTGAGGGGAAACCAACGTCAAGTTGTCTAGTTCTATGTGTGAATCGAATTCCATCAATTATTTCGCACAATGTAACCACTCAGTCTGAAGACTTATCATCGCGATGCACTGGAAGAAACGTTAGTTGGATGGATATAATCGGCAGGAAGACTTAGACCTAGGTTTCGTGCTTATCGGCACTCGTCAGCAAGGTGTATCTGTAACCTCGGTGAAACTGATTCCCCGTCTGAGGTTGCAGATATACCTTGCTGATGAGTGCTAAAAAGCATAAAACCCAGATCGAGGGCTTTCTGGCAATCCTTTTCATTTAACTAACATTTCACCGGACTTAATTCTTCATTGTCTGTCATTGTGACATACTGTCATATATGATTATTTTTCTCTTTTGTTCTTTTCTAAGTTGTTTCAGCTTACATAATACTTGTATTTTCACCAGTAATATATATATATATGATTAAGCTGTAAGTAGTATACTTAGTTACCTAGTATGAATTTGAAAATAATTTTTGAACCTGTATCATACTTCACCTCTTATCAAACAGAAAAATCCTCCTACTCCTAATTACTAAGTATTATATCTCTCAACTTGTAAACCTGGATCCTGCAAAATACTGAAGCTTTAATTCCCTTTGAACATTCTCAAAGAAATCTTTGGCTGTTTGATTTGACAGTTTCATTGTTAAAATAGTTATCGCCAATTCCAGTTGAACATCAAGGTATCAGTTTTAAATATAAACTGTTCTGCTTTATCGAAGCTGAAAATATGCAACTTTCCTGTATTCTCCATTTGTTTATATTACTCTCTATAGCTGATGTAGCAAGAAAGTGTAACCATTTATTTATCAAATTATAAGTAGTAAAAACTACAACTTTTATCTGGGAGCATGTTTTTTGGAGTGTTACAAGATCTATTTTTATTTTTTGACTGTTAATCTTATGAAGATGACTGACAACCATGTGAGAAGTTGACCAAATGTTTAAAATTATAGTTAATTGTACTTCTTCATAATTTCATTCGATATGTTCTAAAATTGTAATTTCCTTGGTGCGATCGCTTGGTCTTTATCATTGTTTACTTTTATGTTACACAAAAAGTATTATTATGATGTCAGTCAATTTATGTTGGTTCCGTATCTCTGTGATGTTATGAAGTGTAACATTTTCAAGTAATGTGCAACGTTTTTATATCGACTTACCTGCTTGTTTTTATGTCTGCGTATAATCTGTTTTCACTGAAATCAAGTCATACAGTTTGAGATATCATTAGGGCATAGGAGGTTAAGAGATCAATTACGATCCGAACACCTCAATGTTAACATTAGTGTCTATATCACTAGGTGATGCCTGTTTCGAATCTTCTAGGATGCATCAGTTTCCAAGAGGTTTCAGGTATACCTTATTGACGAGAGACAGCAAGCACAAAACCTGTACTGAGCAGTTTTTCCTGTTGATTTCCTACAACATCTAACATATCATTTGTTTGATAAATTTAAATTTGATAGAATTTACTACGAAATAGTTCACTACAGTAGAAGTACGAATTCACTGACATGACTTCAGATTCATAAAATTGAAGGCCATCATTGAGTTTAATAACTTCATACAGATTAAACACTGTAGCTGTCAATATCCAAGTGTTAAACAGTAATCTAAGTGGATTCATCGAGTTTATGATATGACCAGTAAGTTAAATAATACAAAACTGCATTACACTGTACTTTAGGTAAAGGTACTAGTAGTCAACTTACACGAAAATCTGTACCCGTTTCTTGTTTGTTTTGAATAATCAGTAACAGACATTTAAAAGTATAAGAAAATTGCTGTTCCCTTGACACTTCAAACCTTCATTGGTAAGTACAGGAAGGAAATATGTTCAAGATTCGATCAAAAAAAGTAGTCGTCAAGTTCTGAGACTTCATAATTGATTGAAGACCATTGGTCACATTTTTGGCTTGTCCCAACTTGAAGACTTGTAACTAAAGTACACATTTCTACCTTCACTATTTAAGGAACTCACTGTTACAGACTGGGTAAGTTTATTAAGACTAAGATGGATTTAAATTTTCACTATTTAACTTCAACTTATCAGCTTATGAATGACGCCAAAAATAAACTGTAAAAGACAGACTTATTGTATTCGATCACTAATACAAGCTTAAAGTAAAGCCATTTTTTCACAGTTACCTTTGTCTTACTTGATACTTTCTTCCTTGTGCTCTGGATGTAGATTTCAGTTTAACGTCTGCTTTTCAGACGCTGAAGAGGTGAAGGCGCTCTGTACCCCTAACCAATCACTGCAGCCATCTTGTCAAAAAATGATTTTGGAAAAGACTAATAACAGTAATAACTTAGAGATAAATGATAAACAGCAGTGAAACATACACAGGAAAACTGTATAAATCTAAATTTTAACTTCAAATCGAATCGCAGGAATTTTTCAGTGTTTGATGATTTCTATCCTGAATGATGTATTGTGACATAGATTGGTTATTACAGCTTTTGTCTGTAAACTGTTTGAATTTTTAAACAGAACTAGTAAATATTTTTTTTCACAACTTTGTGTTATTATAATGTAAGCCACACCTTCTTCAATTTCTTATGGAATGGAACCCAGAATATTTGGGTTGGATAGGGAACAGTCTACTCTTCGGGGAGTCAGCAGAAATTCACTGTCCATCAATTTTTTTTAGTTTTCTGTGAGAATTTCTAAACTATGAGACCAATAGGAAAAGAATATGGTGAAGACAACCGTTAATAATTTTGAACTAAAACACTTGTAGCTTGAAGACTACAGAGGAAGAAATTTCATGGTATCTTGTCTTAATCTTCTATCAAATTCTATAAACTATCATTGAGCATCACAGTACCATTTGATGATTATTAGACGGTTTAAAGTAATCAATAAAATTTATCAGCACCTAGGAATAGGTAACATGAAAGTAGTAAATCTACAGTGGCAAATCGATGCACCTAATTCAGTTCTACAGTAGGTCATTGTCAGCCTAAATAGCTGAATGGTGACGTCTTCAATTGTTTCAATTAGTGACAGCTGTTCAAACCTGTGGGGAAACATAAGTTCTCTCAAGACTTCATAATCACTTCACTGACAGGTAAGACAGAGCAAGAAACTTTAGTCCAGTGATTTATAATAACTTTGACCAATCACCTAACAGTCATAGAACTTGCGTATTTTATGATTTCGTTATAAGTCTGTAGGTTAACACTTTATCTACAGGTAATCGGTGATTACTTCACTTTTTCCATATCTTTTATTTTGTTTCATTTAGCCAATGCGCAATTCAGTTAGTATAGATGGAGTTGATTCTTCTGGCCCACCTCAATTTGTTGTTCATCCAGTAGCTCAACTAACTGTAGCAGAAGGTGAACCGGCAAATATAACTGCTCGTGTACGTCCAGCAGGTGATAGTACATTAATTGTTGAATGGTATCGAAATGGGAAACCACTACCAGCTGGTAAGTTAGTCTTCCATTTCTACGACAGTATATTCTTGAAGTCTTTCTTGTATAGTATTATTTTCCTAAATTTAGACTGATGAATACAAAAGCATTCAGGTAAATGGAATCTTCTTATATTTTGGACATATCTGTTGAAACTATATAAACTTTCAAGAGTGTAATAATGTGTCTTTTATTTTGTGCGTACAAATTAAATCATGAAATGCTTGACTTTTGTTTAAACGTTTTAATATAACTTACTTAAGTGGATAATATTAGCTTAAATCTGACAAGATTAAAACTTTCTGTATATATTCAGTGGCTTCACAAATAAGATTGATATTTGAACATATACATGGCTAATCGGAATTTGAATAAAATTAAAAAAAGGTAAACAATTTTAGCTAAGAATAGAAACAATTCTTCAATGATAAAAATATTTTTTATTTCCAAGACGATGTTCATCACAGAACTATTAGAAACTTGTAAGCATTGTTATGGAACTTTTTAAAAGTAAACGTCCACAACCTCACTATGGATCGAACCCAGGACCTTGAGGTAAGCATATTACCATTCAACCATTCGTTTGGAGTCGAATGGTTCACATTTTCCCACATTTGTCAGTTTTTGACATAGCGCGACCATCATTTGATCCCATCAGGGTGGATCTGTGAGCTCAGAATGTATCGGTAAAGTAACTTCCGTAGATAGTGGGCTAATTAGTATCTATAAATATGTGCTTTGGAGTGACTATAGAAGCCATCTTAATTCCCGATGAAGTAACCAACTAGATTTCTTTATTTCAAATGGAAAGTTGATTTCATATAAAATGAAGAGACCCTAATTGTCATCTCTGTAGTTGTTCAAGTGACCAATTAACTCACCTCCTCATTTAGCTTCACACTTGTTTTGCACAGCTGCCAGGCTCAAAAGTTTGATATCGAACGGTTCGATAACTAATGTTTTATTCCCTTACACATTATGATTAACTCATCTAATTATAATGACTCTATGTCATAGAGGAATACTAGAGAACTGAAGAACGTTCAAATCGATGCTTTTCGTCAACAATCTATCTAGTTACATTAGATACACTCATAGACTCATTGCGCTAATACCTCTGCGAAGCAGAACATTTAAACTGATTCATTTTCTTGGTCGTGTTGTGTTCTCCTAACTGGGTTGTTTAATGATGGTGCTTTCATCGTTTTTCTAGACAACATCATCAGCACTAACTCCAACAAGAAATGAGCTGTTAATATCTCTCCGTGAGTGATTCATTAGCTTAACATGATGAATTGGTTAGTGATTGGCTGTTTTCTTCGATTATTATTATTATTATTTTATTATTTGTGCCTTGGCTTTCTGGTGGAACATAGGGCTTCAGTAGCACGTCGCCATTGCACCCTTTTCTCTCCAGTCTTCTCAACCTGTCTCAAACACTGACCACAATCTTTCATTTCTTCCTCACACTATCTCCTTCATGTCATCCTCGAACGCCAAACTCGTCGCTTCCCGTCTGGGTTCCACTCAACGGCCTGGCCTGGCAGCTGTTGGTGAATGTGTGTAGTTTGTTGTAAATGCTTTCCGTAACACCCCAAGTCTCTCAAATATCATATAGAAGCACTGACTTGGTTGCATTAGTGTTGATCTTGTTCACGCTTTATGCTGAGTGTAGTACAGTAGATCTCCACACTGGTTTCAGATCAATGAAGGCCTGTCTTGCTGTCTTTCCGATCCTAGCTTTGACATCCTCATCTGTACCTGTGCTGCCTGTAATTGAGAGGATGCTGTCTAGGTAGGTAAGTGAAAGAGATTAATTCCTTTAGGTTTCTTCTGTTCATTGTGATTGATGCTTGTTGTTGGTTAGGTTGCGTTGGATATCTGAATCTGTCATCTCTGTCCTCTCTACGGTCACCTAAAGGAAGTCCTGTCTTTATTCGCTGCCTCGTCTCTCTTGTCAACTTGTTGGTTTTAGCCTGTAGATCTTCGAGTTTGTGTGACATTAGGCATAAGTCATCATTAGCAAAATCTAAATTGTCTTCTGGTGTCTTTTCATCGGTCCAGCCAGCGTATGCCCACCTTTTTGCTCCTCACAGTTTGCTGCATGATCCAGTTCACCATAATCAGCAAGCTCATTGGTGATAGTAGGTGGCAACCTTGTCTTACACCTGTCTTCACTTCAAAAGCACCACTAAACTGAGCTTTTCATTGTGAATCACTTGACATGTGGCGTCTTCATATAGTTAATGAATGAGATTGACGAAGGTTTGTGGTATTCTGTAGTGTTGAAGCAACTGCCAAATTACTTGTCGGTCGACGTTGTCGATGGCCTTTTTCAAAATTGATGAAGTTGAGGTAGAGTTGAGTTGACTGCTATTCTATACTCTGTTCTATGATGATGCGTAGCATACAGTTGCAATTTATTCCACACATGATCTGTTGTTGTTGTTGCCACTGAATGCATAGATCTTCTGGTTGGCTATTCTTCTGCTTGATTTCTGACCCAGTGGGATGACGGATATCCGGAGTAATTGCAGAAGCAGTGATGTAGAAACTAGAAGCCACCATGTAACCTGTGATCAAATTACAAACTTGGCTTCGCTGTATAGACTATACTTTTGTTATCATCGAAAAGAATGATTAAGAAAACACTTGCCGATTGATCAAAAACGTTTTAAATGACAATAAATTCACAATGAAGAAGGAGTCGAACAACCAACTACCATTTCTGCATGTCTTAATCGGCAGAATATATTCCGGAAAACTGGAAACCTAAGTGCACAGGAAGCCACCGCACAATGATCGAATACTCAACTTACAGTAGCAACAACCCAAAACGCTCAAAATCAGTTGCTTAAAAATCCTACTCAAAAGAGCGAGAACACTGCAGTACAGCAACACGGTGAAACGAGGAAAATTATTTGATGTCTATCCTAAAGAAGAAGGGTTACCCAGAAAACTTTATCAGTAGATGCCCATCCCGTGCATCATTGTCTACAACGTCTTTGATTGAAATCAATAAACGCATCATCCTAACATACATAAAGAATATATCAGAAATCACAACAAGACCACTTCATGGAATTGGTATGGCTTGTAAACCAACAAATTCCCTCCAAACACTATTATGCAAGCCAAAGAAGATAAACCGAATATCATTTACAAAATCAACTGCATTTACTGTAGTCAACACCACATTGGAAAAAGTGGCCGCCCTCTTCGCCTTCATTCACATCGATTGGCTATTAAACGTCACAGTATTTCATCGTTCATTTCAATGCATGTGGATAATTATGGACATGAATTCAATCTTGACAATGTAGAAATTTTGAACAGAGGAAACACAAAGAATATCAGAGAATTCCTAGAAGCTTGAGATTCAGGTCAGTCATAGATGTATAGACAAAAACCCAACCTATCAACCAATGGGAAAAATGGTAAATAACGGAAACGTAAGAGGTCAAGAAGAGGAACAGACAATAAGAAAATTTATGCAATCAGTGATACAACAATTGAAGGAAACAATCAATCATAAATCAATTCGTCAGGTCAAGCTACTGAATCACTCACTTCATCTTGAAATTGCCTGGAAAGATGATGAAAGTTTCATGTTTGAACATTTCAGCTAAGGCAGCAAAATGTGATCAAGATCACCCACCTGAGATATAAATATTTCCCACTGACTCATTCCCACCAACAGTGTAATCGTGTGTAAATGTGAAAATTTTCACTGTATTTTTGCGTGTTTGTGAGTTAAAGGTTGTGTGTAAGGTTTAAAATGCTTCTGGAAACGTGTGGCCTGCTAGTGCTTTCCAACTGCTCACATGGTGGATTTTTTTCCCTAAAGGTACCCGGAAGAGAGAATGGGTTAGTTTTGCAGGACGACAGGGCCTAAGAAATATGTGTTTCAGGCCGAATATGCACAGCCATTTGAAAGTTTTATATTCAAACTTAATTTCCATTGAGCGAAAGGAAACCATATGTTTGGTGCTGAAAGACTGTAGGGTAGGGAAGAATGTGACATTTTTGGAGCTGATGTTTTGTGGCCCCTGGTTTTGACAGAGAAGGCAGCATCAGCATACGATGCTGTCCATCCACAGGAAACACCTTATTGTGATCAAAGTACGTGCAACCAACCCTACGACATCTCCCTCGGACCCCTCACAATAAAGTTAGCTGTTTGCACTATGAAAATAACCACTATCTGACTGATCTTTGTGGCATAGTAAAACACCAATAAAACCTCAAGCCATCATAGGTCGTGCAAGATTATGCAATGGAGTTGAAGTGTTTGTGTAGACCTTTATGAAAGTTTTGATTGAATGCTAAAAAAAATATCAAATGAAGAATCCAAGTCCTAAGGTCAAGAATCTACAAAAAGTTGTCAAAGAATTGACGTCGAAGAACAGCAATCAGCCTTATACTGATTGATTACTCACTTGATACCCTGAAATAACACTGAGGCGCACCATGATTGCTTGAAGCCTTCTGTGACAGATAAACGGGATGACATAAATCTTAATTCCCTCCTTGGTGCACCCATTGGATTTACTGGTAAATTTGAAGATGACAGTATATATCAACGATTTTCTGCCATTTAACTTAAACTGAATGGTATCCAATACTAATACTGAGTTCAGAGTATCCTGATCGACTTTTTAAAAAATGAACATGGTGCAAAATACTGGATAGAATGCAATCAGCAATTAGGAATAGACAGTATGAAATTGGTCAACCTTCAGTGACTGATCAGTGTATCTCATTCACTCTTACAAGAGGTTAGTCGTTCCTCGAATCACCCACTGGGAACTTCTCTCATTGGTGCACTGAGTGATTCAGCTTTGAATCTCTCAGGACACATCGAATTCCTTGAAGCTGCAGATACGATTTACTGATGAGTGTTGACATATATGAAACCTAGTTTGAGCAGAGTTTTATTTCGATTACCTCCAATCATCTGCCAATATGAGCTTAGAGGAAAGTTCTATAGTATATCTGAAATGATTGAAGTTAAC